TCCATATATATGTGTTAGTATACTGTAATGGTCTTTATCTTTCTGGCTTACTTCGCTCTGTATAATGGGCTCCAGTTTCATCCATCTCATTAGAACTGATTCAAATGCATTCTTTTTAATGGCTGAGTAATATTCCATGGTGTATATGTACCACGGCTTCCTCATCCATTTGTCTGTAGCTTTAGTTTTTTAATGAACTGCTATACTGTTCTCCATAGTGGCTGTGTCAGTCTGCATTCCCACCAAGAGGGTTTCCTTTTCTCCACCCTTCTCAAGCACTTATGGTTTCTAAGTTCTATGTGGCTTCTGACATACTTTCTAGAGCTTCAATTTCCTCCTCTATAAAACTGGGATAATAAACCTACTTTGTGACATTTACAACACTGATAGTGGATTAAATAAGATAATGAATGGAAAAGTGCCCTATAAGCTAAAAATTATTCTGCAAATATGTAGGATTATTAACATCCCATCAACAAAATTCAAAGGCCTCTGAGTGGGTTCTAGGAGAGAAATCAGAAGTCACCGGCACTCTCAGCTGTGTGCTGTGGCGGTGCTGTGAATGTTAAGATGGCTCTTGGGTTGTCTGTATTTTAGATGTCAAACTCTGTAACAAAACGATTGCCAGGAGAAGGATGGTGGCTTCATTTTAACACTCCTCTAGGGTACAGCCTCATTGTGTTTTGGAGAAAAAAACCACTACTACACACATGGACTTACATGTGACTGATTTCAGCGTGTCACTGCTACAGGTCCTGGAGAAATTGCAGGGACACCTCGAACTGCTGGAGCAGGAGTTTCTGGCCAACAAGGAGAAGCACCTGACATTGAAGGAACAAGTCCACAGGCACGAATCCCGAGCTGTCAACGACTTTGATCCAGAAAGGTAGGTCAGACTTCACCTCTGTGAGGTGCAAGTGTCAGAGGTGAGCTCCTTCAGGAGGAATTCTGCTGGGGCTGCTGGCCTAGTGCTTGGAGAGCTACTGGTCTTGGGTCAGCAAAAACAGTGTCACCGTTGAGTCGGTGTCATCCCATGCAGCAAGCAATATGAAATTCCTGCTCTGTGTACGGTCCTGTGGGGGGGGGGGGGAACCAACCCAGATGGAGTGTCCCAAATGAACAATTGTCCCCTGGAGCAGACACTGGGCCACTGCCTTGCATTCTGTTGGATGTCACGGAGTCCTGAGGCTCAGAAGAGCACAAGAAAACCCTAGAAATGCTCGTTTGCTAAGCCCAGAGGACCCTCTCCTCCCCAGGTCCCCCTTGCCCTGCTCTCTGCTTTACCTCATTCCTGCCTTTATTTCCCCTGCCTGATTCTTTTCTGTCCCTCATTTTCGCTATCCACAGACAATACCCAAGGGATAGCAGGCAGGAAAGAATCACTGTTAGGTTGGTTAATGTTGGAGCGAGGGACCCACAAATCTTGATAAAGGCAAAATGTTAAAACCTGAAGTCAAATGATTCCTAAATTGATTCACATTAGAAACTTCAGTGCACAATCATATTAAGGATTCCAGCTGGCCATTTTGATGGCCCCATGCTCTGCTCTCTCCATTTTGACTAATTTTAAAGATATATTCCAGGACTCAAGGCTAGGGTTGTTTCCATGTAATTTCCTGGTATGAATCTAAAGAACTCATTTAGTAGGCTTCATATTTGTAAATTCAGCTCTTTCTATTCCTAGTATTTTAACACGAATTCATTCTTGATGCCAAAATATTTTAATGGTTTATATTTTGGCACTAGTGTCCTGAGGTAATTTTCCCAAAGTACAATCTTACTTCTTCAAAATGAATGACATCTCTGTCAATGGTTATTTCAATACTGAGTAATTAGACAGCAAAGATGTGGTTTTAATATTGATTTTTTTCCCCCCAAAGGCTTTTTTTCTCTTGGAAAAAAAAGATCTCCACATGCTTTCACTATTTGTTTAAAAACTAATAGAGTGAGGATATTTATTTTCCAAGAAATCCCACTTGTTTTGGCAGTCATTTTAAAGACAGGCCTCTGTGCACATTAAGACCAAAACTATGCAAGGCCTTATTTATATCCTAGTTACACCCACACTGTGCCTGGCCCTGGTATAAATCAAAAGTGTTTCAACTGCAATTATATCCCATATACAGGAAAAGCTTTCAACACGGGCAAGAAAAAGACTTGGCCTCTCCCAAAACTCCCCTCAGAGCAAGCCAAGCATGGTCAGCTTCTCTTGTTCTCAAATGGGCAAAAAGCAGAACCTAGTCCAACCCTCAAGGTCTTGCCATGTTGAGAACCTTCTACATGAGGGCTACAAAGGCCATTGTCAATGGCTTTCTGTAAGCAAAAGAATTCTGCAAATTAATGGACAAACTGCTTGAGTCAGCTATTGTGTGCTTATTCAGTTCAGTTGCTCAGTTGTGTCTGACTCTTTGCCACCCTATGAACCGCAGCATGCCAGGCCTCCCTGTTCATCACCAACTCTGGGAGTTTACCCAAACCCATGTCCATTGAGTTGGTGATGCCATTCAACCATCTCATCCTTGTCCCCTTCTCCCCTGCCCTCAATCTTTCCCAGGATCAGGGTCTTTTCAAATGAGTCAGCTCTTAGCATCAGGTGGCCAAAGTATTGGAGTGTCAGCTTCAGCATCAGTCCTTCCAATGAACACCCAGGACTGATCTCCTTTAGGAAGGATTGGTTGGATCTGTTTGCAGTCCAAGGGACTCTCAAGAGTCTTCTCCAACACCACAGTACAAAAGCATCAATTCTTCTATGCTCAGCTTTCTTTATGGTCCAACTCACATCTATACATGACTACTGGAAAAACCATAGCCTTGACTAGACAGATCTTTGTTGGCAAAGTAATGTCTCTGCTTTTTAATATGCTGTCTATGTTGGTCATAACTTTCCTTCCAAGGAGTAAGCATCTTTTAATTTCATGGCTGCAATCACCATCTGCAGTGATTTTGGAGCCCCCCAAAATAAAGTCAGCCACTCTTTCCACTGTTTCCCCACCTATTTGAAGTGATGGGACCGGATGCCATGATCTTAGTTTTCTGAATGTTGAGCTTTAAGCCAAGTTGGCACCTTCTTTCTTACTGTTGCCTTTGAAAGGTAACATTCAAAAATACTTGGATTTCATCCATCTTGTTTGTCAGAATGTAATCTGATAGTCATTTGATTCTTTCACACACTATCACCAGAAACCAAGGAGTCAAGAAATGGAGTTCTATCTCCATCAATTCTTTCTCTCTCATACTATCTGCGTATACTCTTGTCTTCTATTTTTACAGAAAAGTTCACAAAGTCCTTAAAAAAAAATGTCTTTTCTCTACTTCTGGATCTGCATGTTGTCACCTCCTCTTTCTTCACTCACCTTCCAACCTCTACAGTCTTGGTCCTTGAGCCTATATCTTCCTGCTACCTTGAGAGTTTGTTCCATCATTTCACTTCCTTTAAACCTTTAGCGTCCCTTGCCTCCTCCTGAATTTTCTTCTTCCTGCCAGACTAGAGCATATTTTCCTATATTTTATTTGTCAGTCTGGCTTTCCACGCTTAGATCTTTGTACCAGTACTCACTGAACAGGGCAGCCTTTCCTAACTAGTGAAAAGCCACTTTAATCATATACAAAACTCCCATGTGTGTTAATATACATACGTATGCAGTGTGCTCAGTCATTTCAGGATTGTCTGACTCTTTGTGACTCTATGGACTGTAGCCTGCCAAGCCCCTCTGTCCACGGGATTCTCCAGGCAAGAATAGTGGAGTGGGTTGGCTTGCCTGCCTTCAGGGGATCTTCCCAATCCAGGGGTCGATCCCTCGTCTCTTAGGTCTCCTGCATTGGCAGGTGGGTTTTTTTCTTTACCACTAGCGCCACCTGGGAAGCCCAATTTTGGGATTGGTTTTATTTCCCCCACTGATCTATGTTTCTATTTCTGCGATAACCACATAGTTCTAAATAACTATAGGTTAAGTATATTTTTTAGTGTTTCTCCTTTTTAAAACTTTCTTTAGCTATTCTTATTCATTCTTCTTACTAATTAACTTCATGATCCGCTCAAATTTATTTTTTCATTGATAGTCACTTTTATTGAGAAATATAGTTTTAGGAACCAATTTTCTTTAATAAAATTCCATTTGAATTTTGTTTAGGATTTCACTGAATGTATAGATTAGTTCAGGAAAAGTTAAAATCTTTGCAATGATTATTCTCATCCTAGTCCCATGAAAACATCTCCAGCAAGTTTTTTCATGTAGATTTTATACATGTTTTGTTAAATTTGTTCTTAGCTACTTTAGACTTTTCTCTATGTTGTTAATAGATGTTTTCCATAATTCATATACAGGGAATAAAGAAAATTATAAATTTAACTTATGTGCTACCTGATGCAATTCTGCTCTTAGTATTTCACTGATTTTCAGCTGATTGTCTTAGTGTTTAGGTATGACAATCATAGCGTCTGCAAATGATAGGTCCCCTCATCTTCCCTTTTCTCTTTAAATATTTATATATCTTTCCTTCTCTCCAACTTTTCTATATCACATTTCTTTATTTTGTTTGCTATTTTTTCCAAACAGTACTGAATAATCACAATACTAGTGAAAGCAATCATTCTTCTCATATTCCTAGTGGTATTGGGCATTCTTTCAAAGGGTGCTGGGTATGAGGATTGCTGTAGGTTCAAGGAGACAAGCTTTATCAAGAAAGTTTCCTTCTAGTCCTGGATTACTAAAATGAGATTTTTTTTTAATTTAGGAAAAAGTTTAATCCTTGGGGTTTAGAAATCTATTTAATCTCCTTTAATCTATTCATATAATGAAATATATTAATAAATATTCTAATGTTTATCTATAGAGTGAGTTGGGATATTTTCCCTTTTCTTTTTGTGTTCCAGAAGCATTACTTAACATCTTTGTTGAACTCTCATATAATCCCACTTGGATTTGGGGCCTTTTGGGAGGCAAAACCGTAAAACCCCTAAAAGATAACACAGGTGAATACCTGGATGACCTTTGTTATGGTGATTATTTTTGAGATACAACATCAAAGTCACCACCTATAAAATAAATAATTGATTAGCTAGACTTCATTAAAATTTAAAAGGTGTGCTCTGTGAAAGACTATGTAAAAGGAATGAGAAGACAAGACAGTGACTGGGAGAAAATATTGGCAAAAGCCACTTCTGATAAAAGATAGTCATCCAAAACACACAAAGAACTCTTACAACAATAAGAAAACAAACAACCCCCCAAAAAAGTGCTAAAGATCTTAACACCTCACTGAAGAAAATACGAGAAAGGGAAATAAGCATACGTAAAAGATGCAAAAACACATATGAAAAGATGTTCCATATTGTATATCATCAGGGAAATGCAAATCAAAACAATGAGTTACAACTACACACACTATTACAGTGCCCCGAATCTGGAATGCTAAAAACACCAAATGTTGGTGAGCATGTGGTACAATAGGAACTCTCCTTTATTGCTGGTGGGGATGCAAAATGCTGTAGCCACTTTGGAAGACAATTTGGTGGTTTCTTTCAAAACTAAACATACTCTTACCATATGATCTAGCAATCACACTCCTTGGTACTTACACAAAGGAGATAAAAACTTATGTCCAAAAACATGCACACAAATGTTTTAAGCAGCTGTATTTAGAATTGGAAGCAACCAAGATGTCCTTCAACAGATGGACTATACTAATAACTATGGTATATTCTGACAATGGGACATCATTTGTGCTAAAAGGAAATGAGCTATCAAGTTAGCAAAGACATGGAGAAAACCTAAATGCTTAATACTGGGAAAAAAGCTGATCTGAAAAGGCTATATATTGCTTGATTCCAATTATGTGAAATTCTGGAAAAGGCAAGACTATGGCAACAATAAAAATATCAGTGGTTGCTGGCAGTTGGGATAGGTGGAAGTTTGAATAAGTGGAGTACAAAGGATTTTCAAGGTAGTGAAAAAACTCTACATGATATCATAAAGATGGATACATATTATACATTTGTTCAAACATATAGAATATACAACACCAAGAGTGAATCCCGTAAAACTATAGACTTTGGGTGATTATGATGTGTCAATGTAGGTTCATCAGTTATAGCACATGTACCCACTTGAGGGGATGTCAATAATGGTGAAGGCTATGCATGTGTAGAGGCAGAGAATATATGGTAAATCTCTGTATCTTCCTCTCAATTTTGTTGAGAAGCCAAAACTGCTCTAAAAAAAAGTATTAAATGGGAAAATATTAACACATCCAAATAATTATTACATTAAATAAAAATTGATATTAGGACTAATCTACAAGTCAATAATAAATGAGAAAAGCACATATGAAAACCAAAGCATTGTAGCTAAAAACAACAACAATACTTTGAAGAAAACAGTTTTAAAATGTATTTAATATGGAGGGGTGAAGTTCAAAATCAATAAACTAAGTACTTAAACCAGGAAAGCAGAAAAAGAACAATAAAATAAATTTCCAAAAGGAAGAGATTCATAAAAAGCAATAAATACAATTTAAAATAATTTGATCAATAAAATAAAATAGTGCTTTTGAAAATATCTATAAAATAGCCAGTGGAAAGTTTGAGTGGAAAGCATAAATAACATTAAGAATGAGAAAGGAAAAATACCAGAAGAAAAATTTTAGATTGACTGGGATTGAGCAGTTTCCTCTCAACACATTTTAAAATCTGGATGAAATAGACAAGTTTCTTTGAAAATGTAAATTATTAAAATCTAGTCAAAAAGAGGTAGGAAATCCAAAAAGACTAAAAGCAAGAGGAAACCAGAAAAGATATAGTTTGTTTCTAGAAACAAAAAAATCTCCCAAAGACACCTAATCCAAGTGGGATTATGGGTGAGTTCAACAAAGACTTTAGGTAAATCTCCTGGAACATTAAAAAATAAAATAAAATTTCCTAACTCATTCTATACCTAAACATGATCCTTCTATTCCTGGCCTATGATCTGTTCTGAGTTGATTTTTGTGAAGAGTATAAGGTCTGTATCAAGATTGATTGTTTTGTAATGAATGCCCAATTGTTCCAGCACCATTTGTTGAAAAGATTACCTTTGCTCAATTCTATTGACTTTACTCCTTTGCCAAATATCAGTTGACTAATTATCTGTGGGTCTATTTATGGGCTTTCTGTTCCATTGATTTGTCTTGTGCTTCATCAATATTACACTGCCTATTTCTATAGCTTTATAGTAAGTCTTGTGGTTGAGTCCTGTCAGTCCTCCAACTTTGTTCTTATCTTTCAGTATTGTGTTGACTATTTCATGTCTTTTGTCTCTACATATAAACTTTAGAGTAAGTTTGTCAATAGCCACAAAAGAAGTTGCCAGAATTTTTTTTACTAGGATTGGTAAGATCAAGTTGGGAAGAAGAGACATCCTGATACTATCAAGTCTTTCAATCCATGAATGTGTAACATTTCTCCATTTATTTGCTTTTGTGATTTCATCCAGAGTATTGTAGTTTTCTCCATAATGATCTTGTGCACATTTTGTTACATTTATACCTAAGTTTTGAGTTGGACAAAAAGGTCCTTCAGGTTTTTCTGTAAAATAATATGAAAAATCCAAATGAACTTTCTGGGCAATGCACATTTAATTTTTTGGATCTTAATGCAAATGATGCTGTTTTTAATTTCTAATTCCACTTGTTCATCACAGATATTTAGGAAAGTGATTGACTTTCGTATATTAACCTTGCACCCTGCACTTTGTTATACTTGCTTACTAGTTTCAAAGTTTTTAGGTTGATTCTTTTGAATTTTCTACCCAATCATGTCATCTATGGACAATTTTATTTCTTCCTTTCCAATGTGTATACTCTTTATTTCCTTTCATTGTCTTAATGTGTTAGGTAGGACTTCCAGTACAGTGTTGAACAGGAGTGGTGAGAAGGAACACCTTTGCATTGTTTTTGATCATACTGAGTGAGACAGCTGTGATATAATTTTTAAAGTTTTGGAATTTATTGATACTTTTTTGGGGGGGTAATAGATAAAATTTGATAATTTTAATGAATTTGGGGAAAATTCATTCTTTGGAGGCAAAATATATATACTTATATATGTATGTACATATGGAGTCTCCTGCCTTGGAAGCATTCTTTACCATCTGAGCAATCAGGAAAGCCCTAAACTATACATATACACACATATACCTGTATGTACATATACCTATGGATCGAACTTATTAAATTATTCAGATTTTTCAAGTTATTCTTTTTCAAGTGATATAAATCATTATTTTCCTAGAATTATAGCTCCTAGAACTAACTGTAAAGGACCTCAAAATAATCAGATCCACATCAGTTCAGTTCAGTAGCTCAGTCCTGTCTGACTCTTTGTGACCCCATGAATCACAGCACGCCAGGCCTCCCTGTCCATCACCAACTCCCAGAGTTCACTCAAACTCATGTCCATCGAGTTGGTGATGACTTTATTTCATGATGAAAGTCAAATCTTTATGCTGTACACCTTAAATTTATCCAGTCCTGTATGTCAATTATATCTCAATAAAACTAGAAGAAAATAAAGAAAACGAGAGTCCAGGCCTTTGAAGTGAAACTATAAACAGGATGTCTGTCAGGGCGAGTGTTCATCATCCTTCCTATCTGAAGACAGCCCACGTTAAAAATGTAAATCAATGCTATATTCAAGAACTGTTGTTACTAGTAAAATATGGACTGCATACCCAATAAGATGCCTGTTTGTTTATATTTACCTAGAAAAGTAGAAGGTGAAATCTTCAAGTTGGAGATGCTACTTAAAGATTTTAAAGAGAAAATTAATAAAAGCAGATGTACTTCAGCTGTCTCTCTTCTCGTGAATTCTCCAATCAACCTGGATGACTTGTCATTCACATCCTCTCCACTCTCAAATGAGGTAATACAGCAACCTACAGCTTAATTTCATGCCAGGAAAAATGGTTTTTATGTATTTATAGGATTCTAATTCATGGAATCACTGAATTCTATCTTAACATTTCATGAAAATTTAACTTTCCAAAGGCCTATGAATCATTATTTAAAGTAGAACCAGATTTTAAAAATTAGAAGCTATTTCAAGTGTTGGTTTTTGAAATTTCTAATTGGTTTAGGATGTAACAATGCAGCTTAAACAGATGAACTGCTGAAGAACTACTTCTTCTGGATGAATAACAACATTTTTGTAGATCGTGTGTGCCTGGAAGAAATCATTTTTCTTCTTAATAGTTTTGTACTCTCCCTGTTACATAATAGCACACTCACTGAAAGAACTATTTCCCATGAGTCCACTTCTACATTTTCTTTTGCTCAAGTTAAATTCTTTTGGATTGTCCATGTATGCAAGATCACGAATTCAAATTGACCACCACTGTCTCTCCATTCTTTTTGTAACCTCAACAATCAGACACTTTCAGACTAAATTAAAATTCCAATAAATGGAACCATCTGAATGATTCTGGATGTTATTCAAACTTGGATAGATTTTAGTCAGAGTTAAGGACAGGATGTTGTACAGTTCAGTTCAGTTCAGTTACTCAGTCATGTCTAACTCTGCGACCCTATGGACTGTAGCACACCAGGCTTCCCTGTCCATCACCAACCCCCGGAGCTTGCTCAAACTCATGTCCATTTAGTCAGTGATGCCATCCAACCGTCTCATCCTGTGTCGTCCCCTTCACCTCCTGCCTTCAATCTTTCCCAGCATGAGGGTCTTTTCAAATGAGTCAGTTCTTCGCATCAGGTGGCCAAAGGATTGGAGTTTCAGCTTCAGCATCAGTCCTTCCAATGAATATTCAGCACTGATTT